GCACGTTCAGCGTTATCGATGATCGGAGGGGATTATAAAAGGCGAGGGTTTAATATTATACATTGTAATGCCGTGGTAGAGTTTAATGATTCTTAGGAATTTCAAAATTACCTTTCGTACTTTGCATAGACGCTTCGGAACGTAATCGGCGATTCGACTGTCTGCGAATGTGAACCATTATTTTAATCTGAGTTATCTTTCACGGTGATAGAACCAAATTGCCGTTTCGGGGAATCTTGACAAAGGCTCAAAGCAAACGAGTCCTTCGAAAGCGAGAGTCCTCGTCAAAAGATTCCAATAATTTCCTCCCACCCCGCTCGTCGAGTCTGCGACAAGCTCAAAGTTGAAATTCGACGAGAATACTCTTTCATTGTTGCCGAATGCTGGAAAAACTAGTCCCTCATCTGGGACTTTCCCCGCGGCGACAGGAAAGAGATGTTCTTTCACTGTGACCCTCGAAATTGTTGAAAATTGCGAGTTATATGTCTGTCGAAGCACCTTGAGGACGACTGGTCCTCTGAACCGAATTTCTGAAATTCCCGCCGCGGTCGAGATCGTTTTCCGCTCGCCGGAGAAACGGGACGAGATTAATATCGTGAACGACAATGGGAGGAAATGCGATTTCTCATAAGGAGTTTGCTGTGGACTGCGACCCGACGTTTTCCTCTCGGTTCGTTCGATTCTCAGTTATTCCGGAAAGATTCGTTGCTTTCTTACTTTGAAACCTGTTCGACTGTTATTCGTACTATTAATAATTTTTAATGATGGTTCGCATAAATGAGTATCGTTTAACGATAATTCGATGAAACCCAAAGGAACATAGATTCTGTGCATTTTATAGGAACACTTCATCTTGTTTCCTGCGAACGGGTGAAAAGCTCAAGTTTCCCAATGCGTTTATCTCCTAAGTTATTGGACGAGGTATCATCGACAGTGGCCTCGTTGTCAGCGATAATCGAACAAGTTGCGACGTATCATGTTCAAAAGATATCCCTGTCGCTCGTCGTTCGACTGGTTCAATCACTGGTCCTGTTTGTCCGGGTAACCTGAGCTCTGCTAATGACAGGTAGAAGGCTACCTTTACGTCACAATAAAGGAGGAAACATTTGCCGGTGGGCGGAAAGGTCGCGGCTGAAATAGACGTAACCCGAAGGAGACCGCGAAAGGTCGGCTGAAAAGGTTTCCACGTTCTACAAATGTTCAGGCGTTGGAAGAAATATAAATCTTTTGTCAAGGTCCTCCTACTTTCTCAGACAGGACATCTCATTCTTATATCTCTTCCTATTACCATCTCGAATTCTCAGCCTTGGCAGCTATAGATCGTTCGAACGTATCAAAAGATCGTGTATCTATTCTTCATTTCCAAGTTTATGCAATATATCGATCATTATGTCAAACGTGACTTTGTAAAGCACAACGTAACACGAAATATAATTAACTTTCTTACAGCTTTTACATCAGTGTTAACATCGAGCTGCAATGTTTACAATACTAAAGAGAATGTTTTATAATTATTACTCTACTATTCGGTATTTTTCAATACTTCAAAGCTCACACTTGCCAAGTCTAGTTTTCACCGGGCTGTCGCTGGATCATTAAAACAAGCGTTACTGCTTTCCAAGGGGTGGTTTCCTCGCACGCAACAATTCGCATTCCCCATCCCCGAACCCGTTGATTTTCCGCGTTTCACTTTCTCGCGCAGCGACGCTGCAACGGAAACCCACGAAAAGACCGGCGCGTGTAGAATCGTCGCGGAGGGACGCAACCCTCGATGCGCCAGAGGGTTGCCTCCCTCTCGCAACGTTACACAAACGTTATTGTCACGAACGCATTCGCAACAATTCTGCCGGCGAAGAAAAAGCAAAACAAAAAAGAGAAAAAGGAACAGGAACACCGTTAAATCGTGACCGAAACGAATGTTGTACTCCCCCGGGGGGTGGCTTTCTTTCTAGTTCTTTGAATCCTTAAACCTTGGCATTATTTCGTCCACTTGCGCCCGCTTTCGAGGAAATTCAGACATTTAGAGTAATTCCGCCGGCGCGGCGCGTGCACGCGCACAGTTTTCTCGGTAAGGGCGGTTTCCGGAACGCTGTTCCCTCCCTTTTCATCGTCCGACTCTCTTGCAGCTCTTTCACCTATTCATCGCCACTGTCCCACCTACGCCAGGTAGGAACGCGAAAAGACCAGTGAGGAGCGCGGTTGTCTTGTTACGTTCGCCCGCTGTTCCTTCAACCCTCGGATTCTTGCACGCTTTCTTCAATTCACTTACTCTCGGCGATACAGCTAATTGAAGTGTCTAAGGCCGTTAGATCGTCCCGCGTGGCCCACATTCTGAGAACTCGATGTCTCTGCGGAAATAATTGCGACGTATCCTACGAATGTTACGAATCTTCTCGCGAAAGTGGTAGCTTCTAGGAGTATTGTAATAAACAAAGTTGTTCTCGGAGTACCCATTCATTTCACAAAGTAATCAACATACCGATTAATATGACCTACAAAAATTCCATCCTTTCCCTACTAAATTTGAAAGAAAACTTCAATTCTTTCACTACCAAATTCGATGAGCAAGGTTGTTTCAATTCTCTCGCCACTAAATTCGAGAGAAACACCGAGAAATCGAGTTAGCTACTTTAGCCTACGGATCTAAAACTAAGCAACCCCCAACGAAGCCCACATTTCGGTTGCTCGTGTAGGGGTGAAATCCTTTTGTTCTTTCTGTCGCAGACTAGAACCAAAAAACCTAAGGAAATCGATGCGCGCGATTGTTGCAACCGAAACGCAACCCCCGACGCACTGCGGGGTTCCCTTCTCCCCCTCCAAAATGTAGCAGAAGGGTACGGTCGCGTATAGGTATATTATCCCCTTTCTCGCTGCCGGCATTCAGCCCCGTGAG